AGTGCCACAGCTCGATTTAAGGCATAAAAACGTTCATAGCTTAAATTCAATATTGGCCATATTTTAATAAGTGGCCATCTAAAAATCAATTTCTTTATGCAATACAGTCACATCTCAAAATATGGCAGTCTTGAATTTACTTTAAAAATTGTAAGTTTCCACAAGTCTAAATTTTTGGGTTTAAAAGTGAATTTCATAATATTTGAAAAATTAATATTATATAGTATGATTGAAAGTATTTAGGTGTTTAATTTCAAACCCATAAGTAAAAAACTCATTGAATTATTTTAGGTCCATACTTGAAATAAATTTTTGTCAAAACTATACATTTTGAGAATTGGCAGTCTTGTTCAAGGGGTGCGATATTAATCTTTGTTTTTTTTTTTATCATTGAATGAAAATAAAATCTATTGAGTAAAAGTGGCTTATTTTGTCACAATAGGTATAACTGCAGCTTATTGTAACATCAATTGCAATATAACAGTATAATTTTATACATATATAGTATATACCATATCAAATACACAGAGTGTCACAGTGGGCTTATAAAACAATAACATATCGAACACGATTGTCTAGGTGATTGTAACCTTTCTTTTTTTAAGAAGTTATAAATACTGTCAGTTACGTAGTTTGAGGTGAAATTATATTATTTAAATAGAGTTAATMTCTGAATGTGAAGTAATATTTTACTATAAAACAGTGTTATTTAAAAAAATATAATTATTATATTGCATTTTTGCTGAAAATTTCTTTAAACACAGGAAAAAATCAAAAACAACCCTTAAGTYGGTTCTTGTACTTCATAAAAAAACAAAAAATAACCATCACGCTTTACAAATCGTACATAGATGCCGAAAACCACGCATCTTGACATCAATATGAGATCTAGAATACATTTTTTTTTTTATTATTGTTTACAATATTTTAACACATTTACATTTTTTTTTTATATAAATAAATGTATTTACAATCTATAATATAATAAAACAATAAATAAATTTGAGATTTACATTTACAATTACAATTTAATTTTTACATTTAAATTGATCATAATAAAGATATTAGTTCATAGTAAGTTATAACTGTTATAAGTTAAGTATTAATAGTATGGGTCATTCTTCATCTTCTGATGAGAGGTCTTCAGTGTCCGTTGGGAGTATATCTTAGAGAAGTCGAGTTTGTAGCCGCCTATTTTGGGTTTTGCTTCCTAGTAGGTAATGACGAGCACCGTCCTAGTCTTTAAGCTTGGCATGGAAGTTTTTGGGTTGTGTTTTAATCTATATAATTATTTAGGGTATTCCAGCATCATTATGGATTTAGCGATTMCCCAATAAGCCCTKGTGTTTTCTAAATCCTAAGGAATTTGTTTTGGAGATTTTGGATTTTTTAATTTTAGTGGGTGATGCTGCCGCTCAACAGGGTAGACATATTTTAACAGCGGTCTAATTATTGAAGTAAGTATATAGAAGGAGTGATGCCTTAATTTGTAGTTTACAAGRGTAAAGAATTCTCATCATTGTAAGTTTTTCATCTAGGCGGACACCCAAGTATTAGACTGCATCGTCTTTTTTATTCCATTGAATTACCTGCTTATTAATATGAATATATTTAGGGTTGTTATATCTCAATATTCTAACCTCACTTTAGTTAGATTTAGATTCAATTCCAACTTTTGAAACCCGGTAGTTATTTCTTTTAGAGAGGATTGAAGTTTTAAATTGCTAAATCTAAGGAACTAAGAATAAAAATTTTAAATCAGGAATCAATGTTAATTGTTGCAATTATAAAGATTATATGTACTATTATTATCTCTGTAATAGTGTTGATAAAATTAACCAATAAAAATAATTATAGTGTCTAAATTATTAAAGTATAATTTAGATATTATATTATGTTCCTATTATTATATTATAATGGTATAGGAATCTATATTAAACATGACGAATAAAATATTTTTATTTTTTTTAACTTAATTAATTAGATAATATTATGCAGCACTGAAAATTTCGATCAGGTTTTTCATAAGAATAAGTACCATGTAAATTGAACAATATATTATATACTATAAGTATAGGTAACGTGATTTTTTAAGATAATCRAAGATATTACCATTTGTATTACATTATAATTCATCAATATGGCCACATAAAATTAAATATATCTAAAATATCTACGCTTAATGTATGGCTTAATTTTGAAAGTTCAAATGTATATGAAACAAGTCATTATAATAAAGCAGTCTAATATAATAATATCAGACTGAATCATTAATTAAWAAAAAATATTTCTGAATTATAATTTTTATTTCACATTAAATTGACCTTAATACTCATCTTTTGTTATGTTTTATAAATATTTTTTTTCATTCATAATTCATATTTGATGACAACATCACAGCATAAAAAAAAATATAGGATTAGGGTACTCATGGTTGGGATGAGTGGAACGGTTTTCTTTAAATGGAAAAGTAATGATAAATCATTGCGATCGGAAAACAATTCCTAGTGAGGCTCAAACTCTTGATCGGTACCTGCTATGGTGTTTACAGACATTGTTTAAATACGTTATTCGATTTAATTTTCAACAGTCTATTGAATATTTTATAAATGCATTATTAATATTATTATTATTTAAATATATTATTATTTAAATAAATCAAAAAAAATATATATATATATAGATACACGAATTGGGTGGACCACTTTAGGAGTTTTTTAATTATTTAAAAAAAAAAATGATAAATCATTGTAATTGCATATATTGAACAAGGACTTAATGCGAATCTAAGTTTATAGAATCTTATTTTAGAAAATTAAAAAAACAATAAACGTTGAGTCAGTACATATTTTGTATTATTGCCCAATATTTTTGTTTGTACCCACTACCCACTACGCACACCATACACAGGACATCGTCAAGTTTTCATTTGAAAATTGCAGTACTTCTTATTTTAAGCTATACACGATGGGAGTTTCATCAACATTATAATAAGATCCATATTTGATATTTTATTCYTGTAACTAATATATTTAAATTCTTGCCTAATATTTAAAAAAAAATATCATTGTGTGATTTTAAAATAATGTCTAACAAGTTATTATATGTTTTAACATATATGGACTGTTGGGTTCTGTATTAATAGAAAAATTACATATTATGATTTACTTATAAGTAAAAATGACTAATACGCAATAATTTAATAATAGTAATAATGTTCAACGGTCCTCCAGGTCAACGTATTAGACCARGCCTGTATGCTGTAGCAACAAGCACAACTTGCAATCTACCCCTGCAGCTCTACTATGTGAATACAATTAACATGTTTTGTATGATAGAAGTTATATGAATTAAATAACACAATCTATTTTCTATCTCCACCATACATTAAAATTACATTTCAAAGCATGGAGTAATGTACTATTATAGTGTACATAACATAATAATTAGGTGCTCAATAATAATAATAATAATATTTATACAAAAAATACCGGCAACTCTAAATAATTTGACTGTTTGTTAATTTTTTTTTTAAATGTAAACAAATTATTTTAATCAACTGTTTTAGTTTTATAATAAGATATGGTATAGGTATATCCATTTAGTRAAATACCTATATAGATACGAGTTCTATAAAAGTTTATTAAATATTATCTGATGGATAAAATATATTGAATTCATTACTATGGTAAAATTAAGATCACTTTTTTTAATTTGTAAGTAAGTTACTTAAAGTAACATTTATAGAACACACTACATTATTAATAATGTATATATTATTTTCTAAACAAATATCATATAATTAAACACTATTTTTTTTCTAAACTAAAAAGTTACATATTTACTTTAGATAGCTCTTGCAATTACTATGTACATGAAATGGTAATGATTATATGTCATTATAAATAAATTAGTCATCCAATAATATATAGAKCATCGAAAATATCTAAAATAGTATTATACTGATACACGATGTTGACACGGACTTTATTGAAATTATAATAGCYAAAACACGTGAAATATGATTATATTACATTATTATGTATTATCCATAAAAGTGTGACATATTTTTTTTGAGACGTAACGCTACCCAAATATACATTCGATTTGGCTTACAAATACCTATTATAATATGTAAGTACCAGATTTACGGCTGTAAATAATCATTGGTGATAGTGCTCACGCCATTGGGGCGGTTATCGTGTTGTTGGTTTTTTTTTTTTATCGAAGCCACGACAACAGAGATTATTGGCCTTTTAAAATTTAAATAGTATTCACATAGAAAAGGTATATAATATTATATATCTTTATACTATGAATACTACARAAAGAAGTACAGAGAGGGCGGGGCATGGAAATAAGTACATCGTGTAGTGTATGACAATAATAATGTGATAGGTATACGGGTAGAATGGGTAGATATTGCCGAAAAACGTGCGTACRATTATGTTAAATGTGTTTTGGCTACATTTGTGTGAGGCCGTCGGAATTCAAAGGATCAAAAGACGCATAATATAGACTTGTCATATATATATTATAATATGATATTTAGGATACATTCGAACACACATTCATACCTGTATAATATTGCGATATTCATACGAAGATAATTTTCACCAGTCACGTCAATACAACGGAATACGGTTAGCGGCGTTTCTATAATCTTTGTGTATCATATTATTATCATTAAATCATATTGTAATATTCGTAATAGACAAAATATAGTATGATACTCTAATAATATGTTATTTATTAGAATTGGACAAAGCATGACGGCAATTACACTAAAAATAATARCAATAATCATCGTAGATTGTTCGAATGCGTCCGTAATATCATCATAAACGAACGGGAGCAAAGATAAACGACGACATCATTATGTATAACGAGTATTGGCGTTAGACTGCGCATCCTTATCACGCTAGGCTATTGTGTCATTATCCCTACACGGCGCAGCCAAGTGAGTTTCGTACGATTTCCTTAATCAGTTGTCGCCGAGCAATTAAACGGTGTCATTCACTGGCTAGACCGTAATACGCATTTCACGAACCTTTCAGTCTTATCTGCCGATGGATTGGTGACACTCCTCCGACCAAGTGGTGCAAGCTCTGCCGTGTGGTAAACGAGACTGAATTACAACAACGCGATACCTACGCGTGACTTATACAATAATATTATCATCGAAACGCATTGTACGGCCATTTTGTTTCCTCCGTTTTTTGTGTTCGTCACTTGTATTCTCTTCCGGTTTCCCGTGTGCATGCGAACGATGTTATATTTCGTACTCGGGTCTCCCCCGTGTACCRCCGCCCATAATCGTCGTGTAAACGTGCGCCGGCAAACGTCTTCTGCGCTGTGTCGTCTCGCCGTCGCCACCGCCACAGCCTCCGTCAACCGACTACACTGATCGCCTCTTGCCGCATACATCACGCCGTCGAACATAACATTCTCTGGACCACATCGGAATTTTCGAAAATGGAGGTAAAGCAGCACAGACACGGTCGTACACCGTAAATAAACAACCCTTAACCCCGCCACACCACACCATCCACCCACAGGCCAAAAGTCGACTCGTGTTACTGCACGACCAAACCCGCTCCCCCCACCATACAGGATAACTTATCACGGAAGAAAAAAACAAATTATAAACTTTTTCAAAAGCATAATATTTATATGACATCGTCGCGTTGTCCATATACCTGCAGCGTATAAGACATGCCAATAATACACCCACGACAAACCGTAAAACATTATTATGTTTAGAACGCGTACTAGATTTGTTTTACCCCATTCGACCGTACCGTTTTTCATCGATTTTATTATTCGTTCGGAGCAACGACCACGAATAGAGGGAATAATAATAAAGTGTTATCGTTTATTTTTTTTTAAATTGTTGTCAGATGCAAACCTAAATGTCTATTAAGATAAAACAACATATCTTGCTAGAATTGAAGCATTGTTGCATCAACGYTGTCGACAATTAAAATTTGTAAAAAAAATACTGTTTTATCATGTATAATAATATGAGTAAAATATTATTGTATGACGTACGTACATTACCAACCGATTAAAACAATTTAAATTTACGATAAGCCAATCCGTGGTAAATTTGATTTTGATTTAATTGTCATAAACATAATAAAAAAATCCATTGTTGGCAAGGGGCTTTTTTTTAAGCCGTTTTTGAAGAATTTCAAATTGTTTGATRCTGAAAATCAATTTTCACAATGCGATCGTAAACAATTTGTCACATTTGTTTTTATCAAAAGTATATTTCAGTTTTAATYGTTAAATTCAAATCAGACCATTATTAATTGCATAATTATTATTATGTTCTAATCGTTCAAATTTAATRTAAATTTTAATTACCAATTCAGACACATTCTAGATGGATCTTTTTAACAAGTGAAAACCCTAGTAATAATGTCATTGTAGATAAATTTTAAATGATTATCCGACACTATTTTTTTTTAATATTATTATAATTGACGCAATCAAAATTGACTTACGTAACTTTTTAATATAACAATATTGTAGCTCAACAACAATAAATAAATATAAAATTGATATTTTTGATATAATATTAAAATTGTATCCGAATACAAAATATATCAATGATCAATACAATGTATTATATATTTATGAATCTCRACTAATAATAAGTTAGAACATATTTATAATAACGATTTAAATATACTGAAATTATAATAATTTCTCACTGGGTCAACCAAATATCATATTTTGTTGCAACCGTAGTAGCAGCCCTAGCCTTCAGTTCAATTTTTTGTGGCCCACGGCTACCAATAGAACAAAACATAAAATAATAAAATATTAATTCTGTATCAAAACGAACTTAGATTCTCAGAGCATGACTTATTTGGTATACATTATTATAATATCTTATTTTCTGATAAACTGTATTCAAATAAGAATTTTTTTTATATATATTTGTTATTATTAAATTTTCATGTGCGGCCCGCGTAATAAGCTTTTCAATATATTTAGCTAACTTAATACTTTGAGTTTGACATGCTTGAACTAAACTAATACGAGAACWTACCTCAATTTCATAATAGTATCAATCGCAATTCCTAATCAATTTTAAATAAAATAATTCATTACAATTATAAAAATATAAATTTTACTCGTTGTTCATCTTTGTTGCGTTAATGGTTTTTGAATAGCCTCGTGTACGATGCCGTTTTCAGTTGCCAGTCGAACAATGTTATTCATGAGTAGGTGCGCTAAACATAATAAAGATAAACGGTTAAAAAAAAAAATAAACTTGTTAAACCTGTGATAACGAGACACACTGTGTAAATATTAGTCTTTTTAATTCTTTGCTTTATTCGATTCTCTTCAATTTCAGTATTTAACTCGTGTCGGGATTGTATAATATGRTACGTATTTATTTTATGATGGTATATATAAAATACAATTTTTGAAGTTAAAGTTATTTTAAATATCTAGATATACCTACGCGAATAGTGAAGTTAATTTTATTCGTTTTGATTTTGGCGTACTCAACTTGCACATTATGATGTTAATTCGAATTGATATAATTGCAATAAAATAAATAAATAAATAAAACTTTTTACAAAATGTAGGTATAATTACACATGTTTCTATTATTATAYATAATTATTTACTTTATCAGAATCATTTATACATTTCAAGGTGATATCGATTCAGTTACAAGAATATATAGAGTGAAGCTAACAATATTAAAAACTTTGGCAAGACAATTAAATGACATTACAAATGTTGCATTTTACGATATTAAATAAATAAGTATACTGCCTAACATTAAAATTGCAATAAACATTTTGACCAATATTTATTTTAAATATTTCTAATTTAAAATCAAACATTATAAATACCTACTTGAATCTTTATAGAATTAAAAAATTTTTTAGTAAATGGAACTATATCAATATAATTTGTATAATGTATATATTTAACAAAACAATACACACAAGAAGTTTGCTCATTTATTTCATTCATCCTCTGAGAAATAATTTTTGTACAAGGGAAAGGATATCGAAAACAATATTAATTTTAATATCATGTTTGATATTCTCTGTATAATATAGAAAACGCAAATTTCTAAACATAAATTTACACAAACACTCATTTTCATTCATCAATTTAAATTCCATACAATTGTTATAATATAAATAAATTGTCATTTACAACGAGTATGTCTAAAACCAACTTCACTATCATAGAATATTTTTGTGTTTGTTCAATTGATAATTTAAATATTATACAATTACATTATTAGTTAGGGAAAAATATGTAACAACACTGTTACAATAACCGTATATTCTCTGTTCACGTAGAACACGTTCATGACACGTATTTATTTATCTAAAAAAAAATATATATATATACATTATTTTCAGATCTATTATACAAAGCTTGCCAGGTAGCTAAGATTCTATTTATTACTATTTTAAAAATCTTTGTTAAATTAAAAACAAACAAAGCAAATATTAATAACATCTGGATTCTGGATAGGTACCTTAGTTGAATATCAGTTATCACTTTTTAAGTATTTTTAATTTTGTAATTTAATTTTTGTAACTCGCATTAAGACGTTATTTAATAGATGATGAATCAAAAGTAGGGACTGTATATAGTAAATTATACCACATTTAATATTCCCTCTTATCGCTTATTTCATTTTCCCGTTCTTGTCCTTCTTGACCATTGAAATAAACGATACTCAACATCCCAATCACTTCCACTCGCATATCAAATCAATCAGGTACTCGACTCAAATATTTAATTTAATGTTGGCAAAACAATGTTTACGTCTGCTGTATATTATCATTAAATGATGATAAAAATATTTTTAACTCTTATTCTTTCTCGCCATTTTATCAAAGAACTTTAACATTTCAAACTCATAAAATATAATATGTTTTTTTTTTCATCACATTCTGAATGTATTCAAATGTTTTATTAAACATCAACCTATTAATTATACTTGGTTTGTTTTGCTTTGTATTGTTTTATACTCGTAAAAGTAAAAATAAAAATAAAAACATAAAAATATATTAAAAATCTCACATGATTACTTCGCATGTGGTGTATAATATTTCGCGCATTGGGTAGGTATGTCATTTTTTTACAAGGAKAAATCTAGTGGGTTATTGTATTAAGTTTTATGGCAATAAAAATTATTTTATTCTAAAAATAATTATAACTATTACAGTGCAGTTTTTAATTTTAGAAAAAGTAACTGTATAAAAAATTGCTTTGTTCAAAACATTTAATCTTAACTCAATTTATCACCTCAAATTTAAACAAATTATTTAACATTCCCGGATAGATATAAATATTAAAATTACATTTGAGGGTAATAATGACTTATTTTACTAATTTATAACATTTTATTTTCCCATTATACMAAAATGACGAACTTTTATTTTTTAATGATAACAACCCCCCTCGTCGCCTCAAAAGACGTTGGTGTCGCGACCTCCTAAACTGAAACACCACTCCATGTCCTAAACGTCTCAACTCAAAAGGGTCCTATCACTGGATAGCTTCYCTTCTCATGTATCCAAAGTCACTATTATAATTGTAAACATATTTGCTTATTGTATTTTATTATGTACAGATTGTAAATGTTATTTTGTTAATAAAAAARAAAAAAAAAAAAGAAAAAAATGATAACATAACAAACTATAAGAATTGYTGTAATTCACTTTTACTGCTCAGTGCCTTTTAAAATATTTTTCGAGAAAAATATAACTCTTTTAAGTAACGTTGTAACATACTATTTCTGGCTTTAGTCCAAGTCTAAAATCTGGTTTCACGGATGGAATGGTCCCGTTGTTCTTAATGTTGGATACAATTGCGTAAAAAGTATTACGGTTAATAGTACATGGAATAAAAAATTATAATATTATAATAATTTAAAAATTTCAGATTTTTATGTTTTACGTTTCAGGTTAGTTTTACAGTGAAACTAGGATTGGCAATGATACTGATTTGTACGGTGAAGACAACAAATCCAGAACAGCTTGATAATGTGGTTACTGCTAAAGCAATATGTCCCGAACAATGTGCTGTTTGCTCTTCTATTGAAATGTTATGTTCTGGTGCCAATATCACCGATGTCCTAAACTATGATTTGGATCCTCAAGTAATCTTAACTTAATTAACTATTCTACGAACGATATGACAATTGACAATATTTGATTTTTTTTTCCAGTAATATTTTAGTTATTTTTCTTGATTTATCAGTAACGTTAAAATACAATACTTAAATATATAAAACTTAAGAAGTTTTAACATCAGTCATTTTTTAATTTAGATAAATTTTATTTTTAATCTATTTTTTTGACTTAAGATTTCTAGCAATCAAAAGTATTGAATTGAAGTATAATATTGTCCGAGATTTTCTGTACCTATAGATTGACCTCAAGGTTGAATCATGAAATATTGCGTTTTCATTCTTGATAACTGATAAGTGATAAAAAGTGATAACTTATATCAAAGCATTATCAGAACCTCATAAAGTGTATTTAATAATATTATTAAATGCTATTGGGAACTTAAATAAGTGCGAACACTTTTTTCTTGACAAATATATATAAAATATATATGTATTCATGTTTAGATCAAATCCCATATCAAATTTTCTAAAGCTGATCAAGATTATTGTAGAAAAATTTAAAAACTAACTACAATTATACTTTAAGACTTTAAAAAGCTGTTAAACCCAATAATTTTAAAAAATGTGGTTTTTGTATCTATCCGTTCGTTTAAGATTCTAATATATGCAATGAATGAACTTACTTTAGGATAATGTAAGTTTTATATCTGTATATTTTAATCTTTTTATTTTGTAGACAAGTTCTAAAAAATAAAAATTATTCGATTTAAACTCTGGAGGTAGGTTCTGGAAAAAAAATAGGATTTAGTTGGATAAAAGTAAAAAAAAACCTAATACTTTTCAAAATAACCAGAAAAAATAAAACCGAGAATTTTTCGCAAAATCAATGAATTTTTTTACTGTACCTAACTCAAATAGGTACGATTAAAAATGACCTTAGATAATTGAAATTTTTACTAAATATTTCTTATCACTATAAATGATAAAATGTTTCAATTATATTAACTCTTATTCCAGTGTAATGATAGTATTTTTTTTTTTTTTACTTTAAAGGTTTATTAAATGATTTTACTGGGTGAATTATCTTGAAAATTATAATATTTCTCATAAGTATTCATACTGTAATCAAAAAATTAAATAAATAACAAAAGTTTTTTTTATAGACATTTTAAGTTTAAACTTTGAAAAAATTAGATATTAATTAAACAAAAAAGAATGATTTTAGATATTTTKTTGTAATTTAAAAAATATTGGAGGGTACACAAAACTTTAAAGTATATTATTATATTTTATATACACGGTGAGATTTTAGAATGTATTTTTTGGTAAAAATTAACTCATTCTACTTTATAGAACTATACYGTTTTTCAGATTATGTTATTCTGTAGAAAAATAAATTTCATATTTTTTATATATCTATATATCATARAATATACTTAATAATATTTTACAGAAAACTTTCACYCAGAATCATTATTATATGATGATTTATTATTGAATAAAAATTTATTACATATATTAGAGAAAATTACTCCTCAGAAGACTCAACGATAAAATATTCTCGACACCTACTGTACATCAAAGCGGTTACTTTCGTTTTGTCTTTTTATATTTGAATTATTCAAAATATAAACTATAATAACAAATTATATTATATTACCCATAAACTTAAATTTTTAAAATTAATACAACAGTTAGTCAAACCTTTTTAACATAATATGATACAATGCATTGCTATATGTTTATTGAATTTAAAATAATCTGAGTAGGTACCTAAATAAATAAATTTCTTAATTTATAAGACATRCCTACCTATATATTAAAGTTCTGAATATAATGTCATAAATTAATGTTACAAGATGGATAAATTATCCTTATACCTTTAAATATTTAAAGTACTAAATAATTATAATTTATGTTCATATAATGTTATTGATTTTCAAGTATTTGAATCTTTATATTGATATCAACTTTGACGTTTGAATTAAGAGCATGTTTTARATTCTTCTAACAATTACTCATATTAAAATAAGTAAAAGTATTACTAATAATATTTTTATTACCATCCATTATGCATATAATTTTGACAGGTTACTAAAATGTATTACTAAAAACATGTAAACACAAAATGTGTTATAGGYATTTATATACCTATTTATATATTTAAACGAAGATTGAATTTCAATTCTTATACCATCATAACATTAAATATATTTCATTTTTTTCAACGCAGTAATAGTATCATTTATCATGCAACACTCCAACCTATATTATAACCATCCACCATACAATAAAAACATTTAATACCACATAATATTTTCCTAAAACTTTATTACATTGTAAACACGCTCCTATTTTAGTAATTCAAATTTAAAACTATGTAAATTAATGAGGAACTTTTCAATATTTATTTATATTATGTATCTTACTACTTAAAATAATACCCACATAAAAAAAATATTATGAAAAAAACTTATATTGATGTTTTTTTCAAAACAATATACTTTTTTTAATAGAACCTGGACAATTTTATTTTGCTGTTTCTTTTATTCTTTCTRGTTTAATACSTTTCTAGAATAATAATAATAATTTATAATACAATGACTTTTATTTTTATTTTTCAGTTAATGAATTTAGACTTTTCAAACATGTCATTAAACTTTATTCCACTCGAAGTATCATACATGACTAACTGCAAGAAACTTAATCTATCTATGAATAACATCCAAAATATCGAAAAGATTGCTTTAGATCACTTGTGGAATCTTGAAGATCTGATTTTGAGCAATAACTCTATTATGGACATCGCTGATATAAATCCAAGCGAACTGTTTAACAATAACAAGTATATCAAGCTTCTAAATTTATCGAACAATCATTTCGTTGATCTTGGCCGAGACAATAACACTATATTGATCAGTGAATCGCTAGAGGTGTTAGACGTTAGTTATTGTCAAATCGTCTCGTTGATTGGATCAATTGTGTTCAGTGGACTCAAAAAGCTGAAATACTTAAACTTGTCGAACAACCCTTTAAAGCAATTGGATGGACTGATGTCGGACTCAATAACCACGTTAAACATACGTGGTTGTATCCTCGTCCATATCAGCGATGATGCTCTGAGTGGATTTAAAAACCTCGAACTATTGGACGTCAGCCTAAACGATCAGCTGTTTATTGACAATGCTATACTATCCTCATCACTCGTAACGCTTGATATTTCACAGTGTTCAGTGCGCATACCAAATTTGCATGGTATGTCTAATCTTAGAACTGTATTTATGAACAGCAACCGAATTAAGAGGCTTACAGCTTATCAATTTGCAAATAGCACAAAAATGATCAATTTGGATATATCTGAAAACCACGTCGAAACTGTACGTATCATTAGTCAACAGATTTTTCAATACTGAAAATAAAAAAAAAATTAAGGTGACTTTATCTATACTGATACTTAAATTAACTATAGGAAACCTTTTCAATGTGTACTACTTGAGACAATAATTTAAAATATTCTATTTTTAATTATCTACAAATTGAACACATATTATTAGAATTCACATCATTTTATTTATTTTTAGAAAATATAATAATATTAGATAATAATTTATTAGGAGATGTATTATTACATAATACACAATTAATTCAAAAAATCCACTTCTATTTATACAGCTCAATAG